GAAGACTTCCACTCTTAACAGAGGTACCGTCGATGCGAACATCGAAGGTCTGATCGGGGTTGACAATCAAGGTGTAGAGAGTTGATTGCTTAGTAATGCGGGCCATTGGTGGGGTCTTCAAGTGCTTCTCCTCATATTCACCAGTCTTCGGGTTCTTGTGCTTGAAGATAAAGTGGACTTTGTTGGTAGCACCACACTTGTCGGGACCGAACATGATCACGTAAGGCGAAGCATTCGAGAACTCCTCGGCGTGGAGATCGGCGTTCTCCTTAAGAAGCTTAAGGTAGGCACCACCACATTCCAGACCATCTAATGCGCACAAAGTCAGTACAAGAGGGAATTGGATAGAGATGTGTTGAGAAACGTACTTTGAAGCTTGACTTCGTACTGTACGACCAAAGACTTCCCCTTGTTGTCAATGGGTTTGGAGAACTTTGCAGAGATGGCATGATGAGCAGCAACGTCCTTAACAACTGTAAAGAATTATTAGTAAACTTTAGCTTTGATTTCGAGCTCAGTATAACTTACCAAGACCTGCATCACCCTCAATTCCCTTCAGCGTGGTGGGCTCCTCGACAGACCATTTTCCAACGTAGGTCCACTCCTCGTCACCGGTCTTGTCGTTTTCCTTCTTCGCATGTGAAACCTTCCACCTAGACTCCCAGCCCTCGGTGAATTGCTCAAAGAAAGGCGCCTGAATTACGGTAGGCTATTTTTTTTAAGGGAAAGGGTCAGAATTGCTTCCTAACTAGCTTCCAATTATTGCCGGGAGGGAGCTTACAGTGAATGCAGGTTTCGCAATTGCGGAGGTAGCTGCGGCGGCCTCTGAGCTCACCACAGAGGCGGCGTCACCGAGAGCATCATCAATGTCATCGGCCATGACACCCCCAAAACCCATCAAGGCAACGGACATAAGCCCGTAGGCGACACGAGCGTCGAAGCGCATCTTGATTGTATTAAATGGGACTAGCAAGTACTAAAGACAAAAACGAATGCAAGTTGATACCTGTAAATAAGGGAAATGTATGCGTGAAATTGGTGAGACAGAGAATGAGTATGGAAGAGGAAGAGCAAACGGCAGGAAGAGATGGAGGTAAAGGTCGAGGTTCTTGTAAAGTTCAGAAGAGGCCACCTTTGAAGTGTGGGTTAGCTTAAGGCGTCGTGTGCTTTGGGATTAGTGTGGGAGATGGGATGGCGCTAGTCTCAATGTGGTTGAGGACACGTTTTGCTCTTTCTACAGCTTCCCCCGTAGTGCATTTAGAGCTTCTACAACGTTCCATCGCCGTATTGTGAAACATACGCCCTGCGGCTCGTTAAGGCACCCGCTCATCTGAAGAGACAAGCCTACTTTACCGACTTTTCAAAACTACCTGTAGCTCTCACAGACATGCTAATCGAAGGCACGGCAGAAACAGATTCATGATCTGCATTGAATCTTTGATTACCGTAACTGCATGAATTCTAGCGAGGACCCATAAAGCACACTCCACCTCCTATACAAAAGAAGAGGGCACCTGTAGTAGGTATAAGAAAGGCCATTGACACTCGAGGAGAGATGATGACCTAGGATCCCACGCCTATGCTAGTAACCGGCCGGCCGGCAAGACGTCTGTCTTTCCCTACCATTGCTATCGTTATCAATCAAGCTTCGAGTGCTCTGACATGACCTATATAGACCTGTTTACTTGTAAGAAAACTATTCGGTAGTTAATCTCCTTCATGAGCACGGGGAATACCCGGATAATTATCCGGCAACCAAGATCCAGATCTTGTTCCTGGGGCCAAACTCACACAAACGGATCTCCTGGGACAGCTGACAAAGGACACATATCAACAGCCCTTTTCGAAATCTGAGACCACTCCGTACCTAATATCGCGGTCAACGGTTCCCCAGTAAATAATTTAGGCTACCGGATCAATCTTCGGCGTTCGGGGTGCATTAACCCTAGTCTTATTCCTCCCAAATGTTCCGTCGGCGAAAGCCTTTTTCTCCACATTTCACTCACTGATTATCACTCGGTGAGCCTTAAACTCAGTCCATCTTTATCCAGTGACAGTGTCGGTAAAACTAAACATTAGTCAAGCACCCCTTCAATTTCTGAGGGCAGGAAGTGATCCATGCATCGAATCTTCCTTAGTACAGCAAGCATGTTAAATCCAAAATTATTCATGTCTTTAGTCACTGGTGCAGATATGGGTTTCTAGATTCCTATAGTTAATGGTATGTCTCGGGGACATCGAGCAGCTCCGGGGTTGTCTCTTTCATCAAACAAAGGCATATGCCCCCCAAACCCAGAGAAACTAAGGATAAGTGGCGACATCGCCGCTCCGGCATCTTTGGTGCATGCACCAGATCCGCCAGCCAAAATTGGAGCAGGTCCTCATCGGTTCGTCCACCATATGTAGATTTGTTTGCTGCAGTGCCAGTGATAGTGATCAGCCCAGCCCACCTACCTACATGATATTCAGTAATGCGACTTGTGGAGATACAATGGTTCAAGCCGAGAAACCCAAAAAAGGTCTATCCACCGGGCTGCCCTTGCTCTACACTGACCGCACCGGCCTGTGCTCAATGAAAGATTATCTGGCCTTGAGATTATCAGAATATTATTTACCTCCAATACTACACGATAAGTAAAGCGTCTTCCGTGATGGAGAACAGGTATATGGGTTTTTTCTCTTTCTTTCTTTCATCAATGGATGTCCTATCCGCTTGTCGTATCGGCCGCCATTCTGTTAAGAAGCAACTTCCCCGTATCCTACACATAAATTAGCAACCGAACAGGAGCTTTACTCCTATGGAGGTCCTGAAGGCGTTTCTCATGAACGTTTTTGCCCCATAGTTTTGCAACCTATCCACTTGAGGCCCGAGTTTTTGGCGCCGTTTGTTACAATTGCCGATGTATTCTGTTGTCATTGGGGGGGAGGAGAGTTGACGTTTAACCTTCCTTACGGAGATGACGGGGGAAGAAGGGGAAGACGAATGGTGGGGTGGATCGGTGTTGGTGGTATAACAGCGGTTTCATGCCAAGGATAGCATTTTCGGTGACTATATGTACTCTTAAGGTGTGTCATTTATGTCATAGCAAACCTTATTTTCTGTGCCGCATGCGTTATGCCTACGTGTAGGCAGCATTGCGTAATGGAATCACAGATCATCACTCGATCGCCAAGGAGCCACCTCTTGTTGGATATGTGCATACATGTATTGGCTGTTCAAACCTGTCATGTTGACACCTATCACTGTCATTTCGGCACCTGTCACTGTGGACGCTTGTCCGATCCGTAACTACATGATATACCTATACGTAGTTAGGCACTTTATCGAGATAAGAGCTAAATCACTATCTCATCCTACTTTTTCAACACCTTTCATGCTGTTTTTGTTATCAACCCATTAAAACTCCCATGCCGTCCATAGTCAGTGTGCTTATGAGACGTGAGTTTGGCATCGTGCCAACAGTTAGAACACGGAGTTCTAGGTGCACGTGCGGTTCCCCTGGATGCAGATATAATCTCGATGACGACGACAGCGATATTATTGAGGCCATTTAAGATGAGGCGCTTCAGTGCCTTTATGATCACCGTTGCCAAACTGTCTTTTATGAAATACTATGTTGGGTATGATGTGACGATTTATCCGAGTGATTTTCTATGACGCACTCACTAACATGCTTGTATTGACAGTCACTCTACCAAAGTATTTATAACAGGCCTTAACTTGCAGTAGCGAAACTGCCTTTCTTGGATACACTTCTGACTTCATATTAAGTTCGAACAAAGGTCATGGGGTTGAGCTCGTGTTCCCAAGAAGGTCCCACAGCTGCAGTTGGCAGACCTTTTGTCTCGTTCTGTTTTTCGCTTCTTCACACACATCCAATCCTTAATATCAAACCATGATCACGATCGCCACGAATACAGTCTTTCCCAGTGAGCGAGCACACAACGGACCGAGCAGAGAGGACCTCTGCCATACAAAATATTCCTTGGCTGCAAGTTCAGTGCCAAATTTTGTATGGTGGAGGTCCTCTCTGCTCGGTCCGTTGTGTGCTTGCTCCACAGGGAAAGACTGTATCATTGGAGGATGTTTTTCAAATATAAGATTCATACGAATGAGTTTAGAGAGGGCGGAATCAACACATTTGGCATAGCACAGTACGTACATGTGTCTTGGTTGTTTGAAAGCCAAACACACTTGTGGTGAATAGCACTTACTGAGAAGTACGTACGTCGCTCAATCGTACAGGAAGCTAAACAGCAGAGATCGAGAGCCGTGCTATTGTTGAGTCCCAACGCCTGATTCCGGCCTACCAAACCCCCACTCCCGAAGGCCCCCAAAACTTCCCACAACCACCAAAAGCGAAAGTTCTATTTTTGTCGCCGAAAAAGTTAGTTGGCGTGCGCGTTCAGCCTAGGTGAGAGTCCCGATCTTCATCGGCAATGATTGATTTTGCATATTAACCCACACTGTACGTCAGATCAGCCGCAGGACAATGTGATTTATTACGTACGGTACATACGACCAGGCAGAACCTCTGGGCATTTTTGTTTATTCGATCCGTCCCTCAGATCGACGGCATACTTTTTTGGGCTGCAATTTAAGTCCAGCTGTTTTGCTTTTGCTCGCGACCATAAAAATGTCCAATGCCAAGCGGTTGACTGATTACTCTGGGCCGCCTGCCTGTCTACTCGCAATTTCACAGCGTTTCCGGACGCAACTGCTATTGCATACACAGAAAAAACCCGCCAAGGCTATCTTTTGTATGGCATGCAATAGTGGTCGCGTCCGGAAACGTCAAAAAACTACGAGTACCTAGCTGCACCTGTCTGTCCATGCACTGGCTAAGCACAGCCACCAGGGTGCACAAAAACCTCGATACGTAGTGGGGCAACAAAATGGCGTCAACACTGGATTGGATCCTGAGAAACGAACGACGATAACCTCCTCTCCCCGCCAACCCCGCCCCCGCGCCCGCTCGACAAACCGCAAATCACCCCCAATGGCGGACAGCATAAACAACGATGCGCTCGTGCGCTCAGAAGGTAAGCCAATCCAACCAATATCTATATATTATCTATATACATGCTCCCGCCGATTTGAAGCCAATATATTCAGCAATTGCTCTTGGAGAACTTGCACTTCAGAAGCCCCGAGACTAGCTACTATATCTCTGCTCTATAGCGACTTCAAACCAGCCTCGCAAGTGCAAAAAAACACCTACTAACCCCCCTCCAGACCCCAACCACCCCGCAAACCTCATCTGCAGCCTCTGCAGGAACTTCTACGACCATGGCTGGGTAAGAAGCCACCCACCCGCACCCGCACCCACAGCGTATCATGACCCCAACTAACAAACCTCCCTAGGTAACCGGCACCGGCGGCGGCATCTCCATCCGCCACGCCGACCACGTCTTCCTCGCGCCCTCCGGCGTACAGAAGGAGCGCCTAGCGCCCGAAAACATGTTTGTCATGGACTTCACCACCAAAGAGTACATTCGGCGACCACTGGAGCTCAAGCCATCAGCATGCACACCGCTGTTCATGGCGGCTTTCACGAAGCGCGGTGCGGGAGCGTGCATCCACACGCACTCGCAGGCGGCGGTGCTGTGCACGCTTATTAGCCGTGGGCGTACCTTCTCGATTGCGAATATTGAGCAGATCAAGGCGATACCGAAGCCGAGTACGGGAGGGTATTGCGGGTATTTTGATACATTGACGATACCGATTATTGAGAATACGGCGCAGTGAGTAGTCAATTGGGATCTGAGAGAGTTAAAGAAAGGGTTCTTTACTAATATTGGTTGGGCATGTAGTGAGGAGGATCTGAGGGATAGCTTGGAGCAGGCCATGAATGAATATCCAGACACATGCGCGGTGCTTGTTAGGAGACATGGAGTGTATGGCCCCCCCCTCCACCGCCCGGTACTTCTGAGATTTTGGGTGCTGACGAGAAACAAGTTATGTGTGGGGTGACACTGTCTGGAAAGCCAAAACACAGTGTGAAAGGTGAGACGCTTTTCTCCACGCAGCTGATTTTAAATTGACTCTGACGTATGTGTGTGCTGTGACAGTCTTGATTATCTTTTCCAGCTCGCTGTCGAGATGCACAAGCTCGGACTGGATCCAGCAGGCCCCATTACACCCGTTGAGGAGTAGCAACAGCTCAACATCGCCAGGTAAAACGAAGCAAAAAAGATCATGACCAGAATCTAACCACCATACATTGTAGATCATGTGGGAGGGGGAAAAACGTAGAGACTTTGTACAGCGGAGATCCCTCCCTAGGTTTATGTACAATACGTAGATGAGAGAATTACTGAGATTATATCATGCTAGAGTAAATTAATTATTCACGGCCCCCATATGCTGATGATTTATTTGAATGAATACGAGGTAACAATTGAAAAAAAATGAATGAGGGGAGCTAAAAATAACACATCATGGTCGTGGTGGGATCATCCTAGAACAGCAGTGAAGTAAACCTAAACCAACCCCTACCCGCACCCGCACCCGCACCCACCAAAACCCGCAAAAGAGAAAGTATTGGCACACCCGTCATATCCGCCTCTCTGCATACTACACAGGGAAGGTTTGATGATCATGGTTTGAATGACATTTTATGCGCTTAGTACTTACTACAACGACCACCATCGCCGCCGACCTGTTCCAAAAACGCATCGATGTATACCTTTAAACCGTCCTCATCCTCCTCCGGCTCCAGCTCCAACTAAATAACACACCAGCAATATTAGCAACGCAACCTCACTCGACAACCACACCACCATAACCACCACCAGCGCACATACCTCAGCAATCGTCTTGTCATTCACCAGCCTAACCCCGTCCGAGTGGAACCGCACACTGCTCGGGTTGATGCCCTTGGTCTTGCAGTACGCATTGGCGACCTTGTAGAACGGAGCACTGGACTTGATCTTGAACGCCAGCTCACCTAAATATTGTGCGCCCCGCAATTAACACAACATCACACCAGGCAAGCTATGTAGCTAGCAGTACAGCAGCAGGTAGGTAGCTTGGTAGGTAGCAGTCTATGAGGCAGCTTGGGGGAGGTTGGAGTGCTTTTCTATGCTCACCATGCTGTTGAGAGCGCACTATTATTGTAAGTGGAGCGCCTGGCGCAATGGTCTTCGGCTTTATATCTGGTTTCACGTCCATCTTGTTTCGGCGTGTTCTGGAAGAATAGTGGGGCGAATCCTGCTGGTGGTACGGTCAATGGAAGGGGGGGTGGGAGGGGGTGGGGGGAGGAGCTCGAGCGTATTGAGCTATTGCTATGGAGTTACTATGTAAGGGTGTGATTGAGGCTGAATCCCTGGGTTGGGTGTTGGGTGGGTAGGAGAGGAAGGAGACGCGCCGGGCAGACAACGTGGGGTGGGGCGGCGAGAAGCTTGGGCGGATGTGTGGCGACTGTTGTAGTAAGTTAGGTGAGGTGGGCAGGGTGGGTGCACGCGACGTAGCGCGGTACGGTTGCTACCAAGCTTTTTGATTCGTATGTGGGTTTCTAATTTCGTTTGGAGGAGGTGATCAAAATAGCTAATTTCCCACCCTGCACAACACCGCATACCACCGCAACCACCAGCTTGTTATTGTTGTTGTTTTTCCTTTTGTTGCTCCGCTCGTAGAACGTCACATGCCTGTATCCCATCTGACGTTTCACGGATTCTTAGCCTACCATTTCCTAGCTCGGTAAGTAATCTCTATTAGGGTAAACCCCCCCAATCCCAATCCCTAACCCTGACCACAGCACGTTGCAGTTTGACGCGAGACATGTAGGTATCTCATCCCCGCCGTGCAGCAACAGTGAGGAATTGACACACAAACACGGTATTTGGATGTTTTTGTTTTTGTTTTTGTTTTGTTTTCCTTTCCATTTTTTTTTACAAACGGTTCATGAATAATAATACACACACGCACAAAAAGTGCCCGCCCCAGTCCAAACCAAGCCCACCCTCCCATTTTCATAATTGACCCAACATTAAAACCGCCTCACCGATATCCTTTGAGATCATAACCACCCAAACCGTTGTTAAAAGAATAGGCCGAAAAAATACATCAGAACCGAAAAACACCAGTGAAAAAGATAAACATAAAAAAAGAGAAAAAGAAGAGGATTGATTTCTTGTCGAAAATCCACTTCAATTCTCCTGATTAAAGCACATAGCGTACAGGGTCGCAGAATAAGCACATTAAGACCCTGACCCTATCCACACTACCCAGAAACTCCTTGTGGTGTTTACAAGACAATGATGCCGGCGGCAACGGCGAAAAGGGCGATGAAGGAACCAGTTACGGTGTATCCAGCAGCAGCGTTACCCGAAGCTGTGGCAGAAGCGTTAGCGGTTTCGGTCCCGGTAGAAGAGCCAGATCCAGAGCGTGTAGAAGTACCGGAGGTGCCAGAGGCGGAGGCGGACGATCCAGTTCCAGTGGCAGTTTGAGATCTATTGGAAGCACATCAATTAGCATTCAAAGCCTCGAATTGTGTATATTTCCTTGGGGTTGAAGAACTTACGATCCAGATCCTGTGGCAGCAGTTCCAGTTCCAGTGGCGGTGGCAGTAGCTCCAGCTCCGGTGGTGGACAAGAACTCATTCGTGATGCATGACTGAACACACTTAGAAAAGGCGTCGGTCTCTGCGGCGGTACCGTTCTATTCATTCTCAGTTAGTTCACGGTTTATCACTCGTGAAATACATTGTTGACTTACGCCTTGAGGGCAAGCGGCAGCACATTCGTTGGTTGCATTGACCATAGAGGCATCTGGGGCCGGGACACCCACACAGGATGCCTGGCAAGTGACATCGCCAGTATCGCAAGCGTTAAGGCAGACGGTGGTTGGGTTAGGAGCGGCGGAAGTGGTAGTCGACGATGACTGAGCAGCAGCAAGGGCAACGAAGCCAACGGATAGAAGGATGGCGGAGAATCTCATATTTGCTAGTGATGGGTGAAGAGAAAGGTTACTTCTTGTGGTTTGCTGAAGAGCAGTTATTAGGGGGTATTAGAGTAAGTAAGTACGAGGTGCAGATTGGAGCGAGTGTGTGGACTGATGAGAAGGAAGGGAAACAGAAGAGACGAGAAGTCACCAGTTTAAGTACTGTGGATGTCTGTGGGTGTAGAGCACAGAATGGAGCGGGCAAGGGATGCATGGCAGGAAAACTATGGGACTGGGGTGCATGGTGTGAGACAAAAAAGACGAACTCTTTTCCACTTCCTGCCCCTGCAGGCCTGGGCAAATGATGTGCGACTAACGGGCAGCTGCATCGTTCAAGTCCCTGCAACTGGTTACTGGGGGGCGGGATAGGGGATTTAGTTCACTATCTAATTTCACAGTCGCAGGGGTTACTAATTTGGCTTCAAGCCATACATCCCAATGTGATGCAGCATTTACTATTTTTGTAAGCCTCTCTGATTTCTGTCCAATCTAGAGGACGTGGATAAATTAGAGCCAACCTCGGCGCGGCAATTACACATTTTTGTTTCCTGGCAATCATTTTCATGGATCTCTATCTGGAATACGGGTTATCTCAATGCTGGCTGTTACTTTATGTGCCTTCAGTGTGTGTACTTAATTTTTTAGATTCAAAGGCACTGCGCGTGCAGCCGTCTGTATTGAATAGATACGAGTCCTTGATGCCGAAATCGTCTTGAACGACTGTTAACAGAGAGAGAGAAAGGAGATTACGTACATGCAGTCCCATGATTCCTTTGCGTTCTACAGTCCTCTACGAGCCTTGCAATCGGATTAAGTGCCAATACAGCCGACCTTCCCGGGCCACACTCTCCTGATCAGTGATCATCACTTCCTCAAAGCGTTGGCATACTCTAAATAAATACTCTAATGTTTATGTACTCGTAAATTCATGACGTTTCCGAACACGACTGCTATTGCATACTATATAAAAAAGCGCCAAACCCACCTTTTTGTATGCCATGCAATATCGGTCGTGTTCGGAAACGCTATGAACTTACGCGTAAATAGGAGCCTTGCCTCCAGGTCGCTAACGGTACATGTAGGGATCCCTTCCTTTACCTCAAAGTAAACATTGCAATATCCGGCACTACGTACCGAGTAATCGGAAAACCGAGGAAGGGATATGTACTCTAAAGTTTGTGATGAAGAGCTGCATTCGGCATACCGAAGGGGTCTAGAGGATTGTCCTATGCCCGAGAATTCTGGCGATTTTTCCCCAGCGCGTGATCTAGGCTCAGGCCATTGAGGGCAGGTACATGACACAATGTCACAAGATCTAAGCAAGCGTTGAAGCAGCGCTCTGGTAAATTTCTGTTGTTGACAGCAGTTAATATCATTACCAATTTTTGTGAGTCGTGGTCGGCTGTACTCCTACAGAACGCATTAAAGGGGTTGGTTCGGGTTACATGTATTTCCTAGGAGACATGTATCAGAACCAACCCGGGGCGTTCTTGTACCTGGAACCGGTACGTCGCACGAGGGAAATACTATCATCGGATAATGCGTACATAGATTCCTTTTTTCTGTTGTTCGAAAACATCGGACCAGTGGAATTGGATTAAGGGTCGTTATGTATCTTGAGTATTTTTTCTGACATTTAGAGGTTTGGAGCTCTTGAGCTGAATGTCTGTTCGCTAAATCCCCTTCATTTCGGGAGCGCGTGCGTGTGGCTCCCCCACAAATGAATCCCCAGCTCACGATGACTTCATTGTTCGTTATTAAAGCGCACTGATTTGAAAACGCAATACTCTATTCCTGAGATATCTTACCGTAATTTGCACTTGCATGGGGTTGCACCGCGATAGGCTGTGTGTGATAGGTACCGCCAAGATTTATCGAAACCCAAGATGAATAAGCGTCGCGGTTTACGCGACCCAACGCGTCTTCCTGCAACCTGCGGCAAACGACAATAAGACAACCGCCGCCATGGACAGTGACAGTGACGACTTTGGGAGCGATGATTTTGGAGACATTAATGACGATGAACTTATAGCAGCTGCTACCCAGGCCGAACTGGCTGCCCATTCTCACCAGCGACCACCACATTCTGCACAGCAGAATAGCAGCGCTGGGGATGTGAATGGTAACGGTGGCGGTGACGATAATCTGTTCCTCTCAGACGATTTTGACTCCGACGTCGAGCTCCCAGGTGCTTTGGTAGCACCGCAATCGTCGGATTATGGGTCTCAAAGACCTCCGCCTTCCACTGGACAGCTCCGTCAGGCTACTCTCTTCGGTGGAAGAGTCCCAGACGAACCTCCGGGGTCCTCAGCCCGTCCCCGAAATGTCCACTGCTATCCGCTAGCTAGTACTCAAGCTCAAGAGCCCCCGACACACCATAAGATTGACCGAGAAGCCGCGAAAACATGGGTCTACCCATCCAATGTTAGTCATCGAGAGTACCAATATTCGATTGTTCACAAAGCATTGTTCTCCAATATTCTCGTAGCTCTACCCACCGGTACGCTACAAGATACCCTCACTCCTCACCCCGAATCGAGCTAAGAGATTTTTTAAATACATGTAGGTCTCGGGAAAACCTTTATTGCTGCAACTGTAATGCTCAATTGGTTCCGATGGGCTCCCGAGTCTCAGATAGCATTTTTAGCACCGACCAAACCATTGGTTGCCCAACAGATCGATGCATGCTACAACATTGCCGGTATTCCGAGAAGTCAGACAGCAGAGCTGACAGGTGCCGTGAATGCCGATCTACGCCGGGAGTATTGGGAAGAGAGAAGGGTGTTTTTCCTCACCCCACAGACAATGCAGAACGATATTTCTCGCGGAATCTGTGATCCGAAGAGAATTGTCTGCCTGGTGATCGATGAAGCCCATAAGGCCACTGGGAACTATGCGTTCGCTACTGTGGTTAGTCAGATTCGAAAGGCGAATACTTCTCTTCGTGTATTAGCACTTACAGCTACTCCGGGTGCCACAATCGACAAAGTTCAAGATGTTATCGACTCTCTTGGCATCGCTAGAGTCGAAATCAGGAATCTTGAATCCATGGATATTCAACCATATGTTTTCAAAAAACACATAGTGACCCAAGTTTTTGAGCTCACAGAAGAGATTGTTTTTCTCCGCGATCTGTATTGCGAGTGCCTACAGCCTCTCCTCAAGAAATTGAACGATGCAAAGGCCTATTGGGTCACCGACCCTAAATCGCTAACCATGTTTGGTCTTAATAAAGCATCCCGGGACTGGATGGCGTCCAATGCCGGCCGAACCGCAAACCGGGGACTTAAGGGCATGCTAATGCATGCATTTTCATTCCTATCATCATTGGCGCTGCCACTGCATTATCTTACGGAACATGGAATTCGTGTCTTCTACCATAGCCTGGTAAATATCCAGAATGAGATATTGTCTGGGAATGGTGCAAAGTCGAAGCTGGGGTTCATTAATGATGAAAAATTTCAAAAGGTCATGAGACGTGCACAGGGAATGATCGTGGACGAAGATTTCTCAGGACATCCAAAATTAGACTATATGGCTGGGGCAATATTGAAGCATTTTGCAGACGCTACAGATATGGATGAGAAGCGAGAGACCAGAATAATGGTATTCACAAGTTACAGGAGCAGTGCAGAGGAGGTTGTGAGGGTGCTTAAGAAGCATGAGCCAATGATCAAACCGCATATTTTTGTTGGTCAGCAGGATTCAAAGACAGCTGACGGAATGAAACAGAAAGATCAAATAGAGGTTGGATTCTCTATTCTAACCAGATAACAGCGGAGGAAACACTGCTAATTACAGGACATGTAGATCATCAAAAAATTCCAACAGGGCATATATAATGTAATTGTTGCCACCAGCATTGGTGAGGAGGGCTTGGATATTGGTGAAGTTGACATGATTGTTTGCTATGATCAAAACAAAACACCTATCCGTATGGTACGATAATCTCCCTTTCAAAGTTAATAAGCGAGTCCTAAATCTTTGACCATAGCTCCAACGCATGGGTCGTACTGGGCGTAAACGTGAGGGTCATGTCCTCGTCTTGCTCAGTAAGGGAAAGGAAGAAGAGAATTACAAAAAGGCATGGGACGATTACCGCTTCATTCAGAACGAAATCGAGTCTGGTAATAAATTCGACTACCACCATGATGAATCACCACGGATACTACCTAGAGACATCCAACCTGTTGTTGATAAGAAGGTAATTGAAATACCGGTTGAGAACACGCAGCCGGAAACGAAGCGGACTCGTGCAAAGCCGGGCAAAAAAGCAAAAATAGTGAAGCCTTTTTTCATGCCGGAAGGTGCTGAGACGGGCTTTGTAAAAGCGTCGAGAATAGGAAAGGATGATTCGGAGGAATCAGAGGAGGGTGTCCCCATGGAGGAGCTGGCGCCGTCATTAACGGACCCTGAAGCTGGCCTTTTAAATGCTAGCGAAGAGCGAGAACTCAATCGCCGATTCAAAACCGTATACGGCACCGACGAAGAGATGGAGCACATTACTATCCCTGGAACAGACAAATTCCCAGCGTTCCAGCGAAATCTAACAAAGACACGATACGTAAAACACGGCAGAGCAACCAAAAGCTTGGTACGGCTGTTTAAGAAATTCACCACCATAGACGAGGATTTCATCAATACATATATGCAGAAATTCGACCCTGAGGTATTAAAGTCACCCCCGGAACCAATCGTACAAAAATTTCAACCCAAAACAAAACCTTTCAAGCCAGTCGTACCGGCGGGCAAGGGCCTAGTCGAACGGTCTGGAAATGTACCCAAGCCTTCAAAGGCAAAGGCAAAGGCAATCTCCAAGCGCCCTGAGCCAGCTGTGAAACGGAAACGCAAGGCCTCCGATAGTTCGATAGAGGAGGAAAACTCGATAAACCTGGCAAGTTCGCCAGGTGGTAGCGACGAGGACAAAGACGAGGACAAAGATGAGGATGTAGTGATGATAGAGTCCGACTCAAGTCCGCCCAGAGCCCAAAGGAAGAAATTCTCAACTGGGACATCAGACGAGGAAGATGATGATAAAGACGACGGTAAAGAAGATACTGATGACGATGACGACGACGAAGTGCTACCCAATTTCACAGAAATGATCCAAGGGTTCCGCACTGCAAAGGCGAAGCCAAAGGTTTCGGTGAGGCCGATGACATCGAAGGCTGCAAAGGCTGCGGCTAGCAAAAAGAACAATATGGCCATGAGGGTAACGAAGGTGACAAAGAAAAAACCAGTAAAAGGGAAAAAGACGAGGAAGTATGATAGTGATGAGGACTAGAGGAGCTGCGTTTATGGTTAGTTTTTTACTATAGATCTAGTCTTTTTCCTTTTTCCTGTCTTGTACACTACCTACTATCCGTCATTTATTATGCTATTATCGGACGTATGAAGTTTTGGTGTTCTCTTTTCTTCTACCTTTGTAGATACGCAATAACCTAAATCAACGTAGTCCTAATATTCAAGGCCCTATTCTGCTTGGCTCACCAAGTTGCCTAGTTGGCTAACGGAGCGCCTTATCCACCCAATTGGCGAGGGGAGGGCGACCTGTTTACGCTGCAGCCCTAGGCCCTCACGCCGAAGGTGAAATTCTACCCTAGCTGCCTTTGAGTTTTATAAACCTGTGCGCCTTCCTTTTCTAAACTAAAGCCAAAGCGAGTGGGCATCGTAGTCACTTGCTCAACGGAATACATATATCAAGCACGCACCTCACCAGGTATGGTATGTCTGGTAGGGGTCTCTTGGTGAGGGGTTCAATACCGCTAACCCAGCGGGACACTCCGTTGGCTAGTGGAGCAACTTGGCTGGCGGAGCAGACCAGTCCTCGCTTAACAACGAATCTCTTCGTGGTTTGCGCAGGATCACGCAATATCACTCGACCATCATAACCTCCCAAAATAATCTTCTAATATCAGTACCGCAACAACAACAGCAACTACAAATCCACTACACCAAATTCCCTAAACATGCCAATACGTTATCCACTACCCACTACGTAACCTAGCGCTATAAGCCATCACCTCGCCCCAAAACCAAAACCAACTCCGCCTCACAAAAAGTGACGCAACAATCACCGCACCATCCATCCCCCCCCCCTAAAAAAAAACCACCCCCCCACTCCCGCCTGACAATCTTAAAATCCACAATGTGCCAAATGCTGTTCATCTATCACACCACCTGCGGGCACCGCGGCTTCACCAGAACCCCGCTCACGCCCACCTGCGGCTACAGCTGCACCCTGCTTCTAAAGCACCTCGACGTCCCGCATCACTGTACCGAGTGCAGCAACATCCCCGCCGCGCCGGGGGTCGCCGGGATGATTCCGTATATGCGGGCCCCCGAGCCCCGGCCCCAGCGGCGTATGCAGGTGGTGGAGAAGAAGGAGGAGGGGAAGGAGGGGGGGAAGGAGGAGGAGAAGGAGAAGGAGAAGGAGAAGGAGAAGGAGGGAGGGGGACCGAGTGAGGGTTATGGGGTGGACTGGCAGGGACGGTTTGCGGCGGTGCTTAGAGGGGTTGTGGGGGAGGTTGGGGCGTTGGTTGTGGTGGAGATGATGAATGGGAGGGAGTGAGCGTGGAGTGCCGTGGTACGGTCGGTGTCTGTGGACATTCTAGGGAGAAGTAGGGCTTATGGGCCTTAACATAATCTAATAATATCTTCTCTAGTAGTTGAAATCCTTATAAAAAAGCATTACCAGAATTATTCGAGGATGATCTTGAGCTTCATAGGCCCTTGTGTCAGTTGGTGTCAATGATATTTATCTCATCAATTAACATTATAGCTCCCAGGGTCCCGTGCGGCAGTACTGACCAACCCCATAGGAGTAGCGGGCGAATAAAAGGCTCCCTGACTTGCTTGTGTGTGTATTTACCACCCGAAAATATACCAGCCTCATAAAGCCAACCCACCTTGAGCTCTTTCCTAGCTACCCCATGCATGCGCAAAACGCACCCCAAGCAACACATCTACCCCTACCAACCCTCCCTCTCCCCGCCCTCAGATATGCCCCCTACTACACTAGGCCCCCACTTCCAAAAACCATTCTCACCTAGAGACTAGCCGGCCGTGACCCCCCAACCCCACCTCTTTATCGAAACGAAAGGGAAATGATCGGTTCTACATGAATTGCAGTGCTACCTTCGAGATGGTGAAGGCCTATGTCCGGGCATGGTGTATTAACGATAGTAGCCAAAGTCTGGCTGCTTGTGTGTCTGCTGCATTGGTTGAGATGCGGCGGTCGAAGTGGGGGCGGCTGAGGGTCGGGCCACGGTGTTCAAGTCGGGCCGAGACAGGCCTCCTCTAGGTCCGAGCCCGAGCCTAAAGGTAACACTTACTCCAGAACAGATTTAACAGAGAACTACATTTTTCTGCGCCAAAACGAGGTTCGATATCTACGCCCCCACCATGGTGACACATCCATCGCCGCCGGTGAGGTTCCCACGCTGATTACATATCAACTCATTGACAGCACAGTTCATGCATACATATACGTGTAGATAGACACGCAGCAATTGACATATGTCACTCCCGCTGTGGACCAGGTACAATTCCAATACATATGATCCATAGGGCCACAACCAGAAGAAGCACATACCCCAGCTACATATCATAATACTAATATACATGTAGTTCCACAACCGCGCCCCGCATTCCCCCCGTCCCACAAGATAGCCCACCTAAGCAACCTCTACCGGTGAAATGTGGCACACACAGATAATTACTCTAAAGGCTACTCTATTCTTAATTCGAAATTCAAGATATATAAATAGCCACGGAGCTAGGGCCAAGCTGGCCATGACTGACAGAATTCTAAACCGGGGATTGGCCCTTGTTTGGGCGTTTAGGTTTCCTTAGGACACTGTACACAGAAGTTGGTTAATTGGTTGTGGATGGAGGTCATGGACGGCCTTCATCTCCGGGTTAGCTTGGTACACGCCACCCGTCCTTCGGCTCTGTCGGCGAGGGGAGGGGGGGGGGGGTTGATTTGACTGGGCTTCTTACTGGTTGAGTATAAGGGAGGGAAATATATATTGAGGAGATCAGTGTTTGATGTGCAACCCCGCAAACAAACACGCGGACACGATACTACTCTGGAGAATATTATGTGTTGGATGCATGAATAGGTGTCGATATAGGAGAGAATAGTGCATAATTATCCACCCATAGTTAATTATCAAACCTACATATAGTGTGCTGATTACGCCTGGGGCTAACTATATACACGGATAACTCGAGTAGCATCTACTTATAATTACATTGACATCTAAGCCTAACAAGTCCAGGTAGCATAGCTATAGTGCACATGTCATCACACTTAGGAATCCAGTCCGAATCCCAAACATTGTACACCCTCCAGCTGGTGAGAGAAAGTACCCTAACTGCCACTATCAATAAGACCAACTAGCTGACCAACTACCAGTATCCACTCCCAACCCCCCAACCCCAATTTCAAAACCACCTCCCAATCTCGGAGCGCCCCCCCCAAAATCAATCTCACCGCAATTACCCCAAGCTCCGTGGAAAGCACAATCATAACAATTCTGCCTAATGCGAGCTCACGGGCACGGGACCGGCCCACCTGCACGTTCCCGAGGAAGCCCGGGCTCGGCCCTGTCTGTAGCGGGATAAGGTTTTACTTTGACGCCCCCTTCTTCCCCTTGCAATTGCCCTTGCGCCGGGGAATTATACCCTAGAGATGATGTTTTGAAGCTTAAATAGAGTGCTGGTTTGGGGGAGACGAGGACGCGTAATGAGGGTGGGTTAGGGGTGGGGGAATTGGGGTTGGGGTTGTACGTGGGTTAGGGGTGGTACCGTGGGGATGTGGCGTTTATTTTAATTACCCTGGTCCACGATGGATGCTTGGGGGAAGGGTTTTAGTAGGATTGCGGGGGGCGGTAGTGAGTACTAGTGATATTGGCCTTCCTTGGTTGTGCTTGCAAATTAGTAGGAAAATATGGCTTAATAGCTTAATAGCTTAACAGAGCTAAGGTATGAACACTCAATTCATCAACATCGATCTACAATTCACCACAATTATATACGTCTACGCCCAACCCAGCACCTACAGAAGAGACTTCCACTCTAGCTCTACGAGTCCGGGACCGTCCCCTTCTCCTCCTCAAAGATCTTCTCCACATCAATCCCCCCCAACTCCGCCTTCTCCATCACCCCCCTCGCCGCGCCCACCACCGGCGCATCCACCATCTTCCCATCCAGCGCCCAACTCCCCCTCCCCTGCTCCTCAGCCTTCCTCTCCGCCACCAGCACCCGCACCGCACCCCTCACCCTCTCCGCACTCGGCAGAAACATAGCCTGCACCCTCTCGATCTGCCCCGGATGTATAACCTGCTTCCCATTAAACCCCATCGCCGCACCCTCCTTGCACTCGCGCGCCAGGGCACCAGCCTCGCTGGTGTCCTTGTACTCCGTGCACACCAGGTCGATGGCCGACGGGATGTCGTATGCGCGGGCGGCGGCGACAATGGTCTGCCGCGCGAAGAGGAACTCGGTCAGGCTGGGGCTGCGTGTGAGGGAGAGGTCGAGCGCGAAGTCTTCGGCGGCGAAGACGAGGCCGCTGAGGCGCGGGGAGGAGGCACAGATGGAGCGAATGTCCATTATTGCGCGGGCAGACTCGATGAGGGCTGGCGTGGTGGGTGGGTGGTTAGTTACATATGTAGTTTAGAAACATGTTGGGGTGGGGGGTTGTTGGCAGAAAGTCGGGGGGCAGTAGAGACCAATGATTTTTATGCCGGTTTTGTTGGGATGGTTTGAGTGGTCGAGGACATTGGCGACAAAGGTTCTTGGTAACGCAGCACAGGGTTAGAGGCTCTCCCGGTATGTATCTTGGACATGTAGGGGAGGGGGGGCATGGCATACACATCTGCCGGGCTCTCAACTTTCGGGACCACGATTGTGTCGAGATGCGGCGCTTTGAGCTAGGGGTGCAGAAGATCATTGGTCAATCGCCCTGGTTCCCCCCTTCTCCGTTTTCTACCACGCTGTTTTAAAGTACATAGGGCGCGCGGTAAGACATACCACTTCTGTGAGATCATCGAGCGCGAGACCGGTCCCGATCGAGTTTACACGCACGGCTTGCTCGCGGATACCAGGGGCGCGGGGCAGCGACAGGATCTCGCGGATGTGCGAGCGGGCGGCGGGCTTCGAGGAGACGGTTACGGAGTCTTCCAAGTCGTAGGTCTAAGTATTTGGGACAGCAGGGGAGGATTATTTAGTTTTCAGGTTATTCTTTTTTTCCCCTCTTTTTTTTTTCTTTTCTTTTTTTTCAATTGGACATATGGTGGAGAGATCTGACATCAAGTAATAATTGAGTGTGGTGCATGAGACATCGGGTATTTTACAAGATGGGGATCTCTTGGGAAAAAGGAAAGGTGAGTCAAGTCATAATGATGAAGAGGGAGGTTTAGGTATGAGATAGGGAGATACGTATGTACTAGGTATGGAGGTGAACAGGTAATGGGTATGGGATTCCATAGAGCTGTAGCTAGAGCTCTACTATTTCCTCCCAATTGGCGTAGGGAGCTCGAGCCAAGGCAAGGCCAAAGGCTGGGCATGCAGGACGCAAAGACCACACTAAGATGCGTGGTGGTGGGATAAGGTCAAGTGAAGTGTACATCGACAAGGTAAATACCGAGGTAATGAATAAAGGAAAAGGGCCAGGTCTTACGATGCAATCAACGTTCAGCAGTCTCGACTTTTCCAACATGCGTTGGCTGGACCCGGGGACTACATCCATCCGATGCCATGGTCAGCATAAAGTGCTCAAGAAGAAAGAAAAAAGGCTTGTTCAAAATAGAGGGTTGTTTAGAAAGATGTCCGATTTAGAAGCAGAATCGAGGCAAGGTTCCGCAAAGTCTCCATGAAGCTAGGCAGACTGACAGATCTCGCTCTCTCTCTGATCTATATCCAGATTGCGAGAACAGCGGATAGATAAGCAGTGGCAAATACCCACCGTAGAGTAACGCTCGCCGTAATAATGGAGCTGCCATCGATCTTTCTTTCTTTCTCTTCTTGTAGCCTGTACGGAACCGGGAGTAATGACAGTCCGGGGAAGAGGGAAAAGAAGGTGGGGAGCGGTGTATTTAGGATGTTGTCTTAGTGCAGGGATAAGGGACAGATTTACTAAGCGTATCAGGCTTGGCAGACACTTGCCTTAGATGGGAAATAGTAATAATTTTTCCAAGTGGAGAGTGCATAAGGTTCTTCTCTTTCTGGAACAGCAGCTACGATTAAGATGGAGGCATCAGCCAGCGGCAGAGTTGTTGGGTCCGCATCAATAGAGTCAGTCAGCACTAGGTAGAGTAGCTATCAATCTAATCATCCGTTTCCAAACCGCCTGTGGGGGTAAAGGTAAGGAAGGGTACTACTCTAGGCAGTTGTGTTACTGTAGAGATACTCCCAGTGCCAAGTTTTTTGCTGGATCCTCACACCACAGCAGAGATAGATAGGCTTCTAGCCAGTCGCCAGGAGTGCTCTTCTACATTAATTGCCTCTGTGTGCTGTGATTGGCTGGCTGGACGTCGTTGCTGTTCATACTGATGAACTTACTTTAAAGATTAGTGGATGGCAGATCAGCTTTCTTGGAGTGACGTCGAGTACTTTAGTGCTTCTATTTCTAGTCCATCATCCTTGTTCCTTTCCCCTGCGGCGCCACACACACATTGCGTATGCTTCTGAACGAGCCCCACGTTTGCAACGTCGTTCACTCTCTGTCGAGCGGAGTTGTCCGTACCCGTTCCCGACAACGTGATACCTTCCCTAGGAGACGTATGCCTATCTGCAACTTGAGGAGGGTGAAAGAGGGCATCTTGTCTGAGAGTCCTCGTATCGACTGATGGGGATGGATTGCACTGGACTGGTTGGGCAGACAAAACAAAAAAAACACAGAGTTATATGCATGTACCTGGTACTTTAGGGTGGGAGGTACCATGAGTGTAAATAGAATTCCTTTGCTGACCAGCTGGTTGATTGATTGATACACACACCTTCCATCGGTGCCTGGAGGACGAGCAATGAAGGGAATGCACGTACGATTTACAGACGAGCAATATTACCACCTCCTTTGTGTGAGCGCGAGAGGTTGAGACGAAGGGAAGCAGCCCGTATGGTGTGTAGGAACATGCCTTGCTCGCGTACTATTGTGCATGCAAGTTACGCAAGCTTTCGTGTGGAACGCAGCAGAAGAGGCGGTTTTTAATTGTATCCTTCGTCATCTCTCTTAACTTTGTTTCTTTTCCTACTTCCTCTTTGCATCCTCTTCTTCCCTTTTTATACTACCACCATCAGCTTCTCGAGGCTTCTTCGTACCCCACCACCTCGCCTGGTTACTGATTCCTTTCCTATGAAAGAGTCCCTGTGATCCTGTCAAACCTTCTTCACAGTAACCTACCACTACCACCTCTCTACATCTTCAATCCGGCCGCGTCCCTGTTGTATAATAAGATCGCCTCGCTTGTTACGGAGATTTTCGCGTGGCTCTACCTTAAAATTCTACGTAATCCTCAACCCCGTCAAAAAAGGGAAAGACGAAAAAAAAACCTTTCCTCATCCCGCACTGGTTGTTTCAACATTTACTACTGCATCCCAGCACAGCAGTACTATCATCACCTAAAATACTCACTTGTTCCATCATTCTATTGCCAACAACAACCCCTTGTGGATCCCTTCCTTTTTTTCCCTGTCCTGCCCCCCCCGTCGTCGTACGTGCCTGCGGGAAAAGCAGCGAAACGTCGCTCTCGCCGGTTTTTTCTTAATCGCTGTAGACGAGCCGTCCTTCGCCACATCTTTCGATCTTCGCACTACTACTGCTACTCCACTCCCGACAGATATAAAGTAAATAATGTCCGCCGCATCGATAAAGAAAGGCCATTCTCGGACCTGGAGCTTGAGGTCGAAAAAGAACAAGGACGAAACAAGACTTAGCTCATTACCACCGGCGAAGCAGAAAAAGATGACCAAGAACGTGGATCCTACCAGAGCAATTACTGAGGATGAGCCTTGTACGTTTTGTGCACTGACGCCAGTCTAGTCCCGATTTAAAGGGTCGCTACCACTCAATTGGTTGCAATTGCTGACTTTTTGGTGCTGGATAATAGTTCAAGTAAACCAGTCTACAAACCAGTACAAGAGTCTTTCGCAACTCAAGTTTAAGGATCGCTTCGGAAATGATATCAGTATGGAAGCTCTTGGGAAACAGAAATACAATTGAAGGTTCTAACACTAAGTTTTACAGCCGATCCGGATTTGACGAACCCCACCAGACACCGCTGGGAAAGCCCGCTGGAGACAATTCGAGGGTTTGAGGCTGCAATTGATAAGGACGAGCATCGGGGGTCCTACGTAGGTATTTTATACCATTCCCTGGTCGTATCTATGAGGCGGGTTCGAACAGTTGCTAAAACATTTCAACAGAGAGAACTTCGTCTAATGCTGGCGCTGGTTATTCGTCGGATACAGTAGACAGCGTTGATGGCAATTCTTGGAGACACAATCGTCATCCGCAACAAAGTTTGTTACTCCCGCTTTCAGAACTTTCTATTTTTGGTTACTGATTTTTTTTTTTTTGCGTGCAGTGGGCTATTACCAGACGACGGGACCACGGGGACGCCCACCACCGGATTCTCTACATTACACTGGTCGCTCTGGATATTCTGAGACCCCCAGATCAGCAGTAGACGGGTACGGACACTGATTTGCTAGCCCCCGGCTGATTGTCAATTTTCTAACATGATCATAGTTACGGCGAATCTGAGATGGGCTATGGAAACATGAACAGAAGAAGATCTCCAGGATCAAATGCTGGCTATGGATACAACGGATACAACAACCCACACCCACAGGAGCGCATGGGACGACCACAGAGAAGACAAACCTACGAGTCGCAGAATTACGATGCCCCACCGAATCAGCCTTATGTGTACAATAATCAAGCTGCAAATGGGGGTGGTGAGAGCCCGGTTAATCCTGGTTCGTCATCATCGGGTGCTGGATCCGATGGGCCCGGTGGATATATTCGGGAGCCGGCGTTGCCGCCTCCGCAACCATCCTTTGGATTTCGCGATCAGGCCATGTTCGAGAGCTCTCAACAGATAACTCCGTTTGAAAACTTTGGTCCATCAGGTTCTGGTCCATCAGGTTCTGGTCCATCAGGTTCGGGCCCATCTCAGATGCCTCAAAGCATACCAACTTCGCCGTCAACGGTCCGAAAGCCAATATCGCTCGGTAGCCCCGCACCCGCACCCGCACCAGCACCAGCACCACAGCCGGAAAAACAGGAGGAAAAGAAAAGGAAGAGCTGGTTCAAGCGGAGAAGCAGTAAAGGCTAAACGTTTTGGAAAATAATGCATAATGCACGTTTTTGAATTCTATTTTTATTCTTCTGTTTATATTATTAGGGGGGGCTAGGGAGGGACTCGCTATGGGGGAAAGAAGGTTCTGTCGGGCTTTATCGATTTCGAAAATCTACCATCGATCAGTCAGTGGGGCATAAGAAAAGAACAGAGCGGGAGACCACGCTAGCTGTTTTTCTTTTGTTGTAAGTGGGCTTTCTTATAATTTTTTAGCGACGAAAAACAATGTGTACTATCGGTGGCATATCGTTTCTATCATCTTCTATACTCTTTGTTTTGAGGAATGTATAAACAAAGCAAAGAGACTTCACGATAATGATGATGCGGTCAGATTGTTTATATATGATTTCCTGTCATTCTCCTTTTTTCGGTGACTTCTTATATTTTTCTTACTACTACTCCTCCCAACCTTCTTTTTTTCTTTCTTTTTTTTTTCACGATGTCATCTTTTATGAGGTTTCTTTCTCTTGGGTTTTTTCTCTTTCCTTTGGGCAGGAACTTCTATTGGGGTAGGGGAACCTCGGCGACACATTTTTCCGGGGGTTCTCTTGATTCTTTTTCTTACGGTGTTCCTTTGGGGGTGTGGGGGATCTCCCTTAATCTTGGGGATTGTACCTGAATTCGCCTCCCCTTACTTAATACAGGTACGAGAGGGGTGGGCAAGTTCTAGCAAGAAAAAAAAGCTTAAGCAGGGGGGAAGAGCGCAAACAATGATACCTAGATGGTTACTTTTTTATCAACATTCCCCACGTGCGTGAGTTGACAATTGAATTCTTGCTGCAGATATGCTCGCTCTCTTGCCTCGTGGTGGTGGATCCGTGGGGTTAGAGTGAGGGTAAGGGAAAGTGCACTCGAATTTTATTTTTATTTATTTTTCAAAACACTCGGATAGGGTTGTTTTGAATTTTGGTGTCTCCTCCGGAATGTTTGCGCGGAGAGAGTGTCTGTGTGTGATAGTTGGGAGTCAAATCATGAGGTAGCACTCGCTCGCACTTTTATGCCCTACAGAAATAAGAATAAAGCGCGAATAGAGTCCAACATATCACGTTTCAAAATGAAGACGCGTTATATTCTTCTCGTCCAAACAACTAGGCTAGAGGTGAAGATATATGATTGGCTTTTTTTTTTACACAGCGACAAGTGAATTGCCAAACACTATCATTTCATCATGTCTCAAACCTACCCAACAAACACCGCTAGATTGGATGGTGGGTTTGGGGGGGGGGGGGGGGGGGGGGGTGGGGCATCTTGTAACAAACAGATAAGCGCCCGATAAGATAGCCGCCGTTTTGGTAATTGCGACATGGGATATCACTCGTCAGAAACCCTGACCCAGAGCCAGATAGTCCTTCATTTGTAGGTGTAGATATCGATGTCATAATCACGGCGCCTCCGCCCAAGACCGGAGCGAGTGTAGTCTCGAGTATGCACGCATCGGAGAGAAGCACAGGCTTTGGTTTGGTAGTAGGTAAATGATTATCTGTTCTCTTCCTAGCCGCTATGACTTCTCTTCTCTCCTCGTGTTTCCGCAGGGTTTTTTTTTTTTTTTTTTATCCACAGATAGCCGGCAGAAGGGGGGGGGTAAAAACTTTCATATTTTAACGCCCATAGCTATATTCCGTGATGCCATTGCTCCCTGATCACGGAATAACGTCACGTAACATTCCCCAGATAACACAACCCCGAGTCCGGCTCAGCATGGGAGCTGGCTTGGCCCGCTTTCGTAGAATCTCACAACGGACATAGGGAACACTGGACTACCGCCGAGTAGACCTGCCGTGTTATAGGGGTTATACTATAGCTAATGCAGGCTTGGTTATGTGTTGGTTCTCGGTGGTAGATACATGTAGTTGTGGATATAGAGATAGCGCGGGCTATGGTTAAACTCTTATACTCAAGGCAGAGTTCCGCGCAAGCCAATCTCAAGTACCCTATCATCCACCTGCTCCATAGTCTCGACCTACAGCTAGCCCATACCCCCAAAGCGCAGCCCCCACCCCCACAGCCACCCCGAACGTCCCCCAGTCCTTATATATCCCATTAAGACCCCGAGCATGCAGCAACAACTCCACAATATATTCCATTCCAGCCACAATGTATTATTCCAGCTACTATGTATTATTACACACCATGTACATACCTACACGTACTACATGTCCTAGTTATTTACCATTACCACCTGTGTCGATGGTATTTTTCCAGCAAGCTATTTTCCTACCCAGATGATCCCATGCCGCCCACATGCACAACACACTATATGCGAGAAAAAGAGAAAAGGAAAAAGAAAGAGAAAGTGAGATATCAAGAGAGAAAGAGAGAAAGAAAGAAACTAAAGAAAAAGAGAGCTACCTTCATTACCCCCTACTGCCATAAAACCACCATGATAATAATAATACACCCCCCGCCGTATATACAGCTAACTCCCCCCCGCCCTCCTCGCATAAGCCGCATTACTACCACCCCTCCATCAGCCCATTCCCCTTCTCCCCCACCCCCCCCCCCCACAGCCAGCCAGACAGAAGAAACTCACCTCGTATGCGCCAACAAAAACTTGACACACGTCAGCGTATACTTACACGCCCTCGTCCAGGCCTCATCCTGGTTAAACGCCAGCCTAATACAGCTATCGCCAATCTTATCCTTCACGATCCTGTAGGGCAACTTCATCTCCGCGTCCGTGTGCTCCACATACTCGCCCAGCTGGCGCAGGCACTCGAGGAACGCAACCATGGCCTGGTCGAACTTGCGGTGCATGAACATGCGGCCCAGCGGGAGGTCGCCGCTGGAGAAGAGCTCGAGAGAGGTCACTTTGGGCTCGCCGTGGCCGCTGGCGGGGTAGTCGAGGCGCTCGATACGGCTGGTGGACCCCATGGGGCGCAGCCGGTAGGTGCTGGGCGTGAAGGTCAGTTTGTCGCAGATGGTGGAGAGGAGGAGGAGTGTTTGGCCCCAGGCGGCGTTGATTTCGCTCCATCCGACCTAGTACGGGGGTACGTTAGCTGGTTTCTTATATATACTACTAGAGCGAGTGTCCATACCGGCTGCGCCTGAAGCCTCCCCAGCCTCAGCCCATTGATAGTGCCAAAATACCCATCATGGCCAATACAGAACGTATCATTATACACATTCGTCCTCTGCAGCTTCTCCAGCTGCCTCGAGTCATGATCATACTGCAAGTTCACACCATCCCGCTCATTCTGGAACTCCTCCAGTCTCGCCGCAAAGCCGTTCCTCTCGCGCCAGAACGTCTCCTCCTCGCCCTCGAGCGCGCGGGCCTCCTCCTCGAGCCCCCGGATCTCAGACTCGACGGCGGCGCGCGCGCGCTCCGTGTCGGCCAGCTCGCGCAAAGCGACCGCCTCCTCGTCCTGCAGCTGCTGCATCTCGCGCGCGGCGGCATCGCGCTCGGCCTCGGTGGGCACCTCGCTGTGCACGCGCTTGAGGAACTCGACGTAGGCGTCGCGCTCGCGCGTGGCGTTGGCGAGGCGCTTTGTGAGGCCGTCGACGAGGAGGTCGGTGCACTCGCTGCAGATGGGGTAGTCGATGTCGCTGCGGGCGCTCAGGATGTCGAAGAGGCCCGCGGAGGTGCGCATCTGGTGGCTGAGCGCGTTCTCGTCGTGCGGGATCAGGAGCTGCGGCGGGGGTGCGCCGCCGGCGTTGCGGGAGGAGGCGGAGGAGGAGGAGGACGGGGGGTGCGGGGCCGGGGCGAGCTGCGACTGCGTGAGCATGACATAGCTTTCGGCCGGGTTCTGGTAGACGGATTTGGAACGGGCGGGGGCGGTGGAGGAGCGGGTGGGGATGGTGCGCTTGTGGAGGGGGGCCGAGGCGTGCTGTGCGGCTTTGTCGTAGGTGTCGCAGCGGTCCGGGGGGAAGATGGGGGGGCCTGAGGGGGTGTCGGAGGTGGTCGGGGGGATGCCGCCGCCTGTGGGGTGTTAGTTAGTGGTCTGGTTTTGCTGGCTGAGGGGGGGGGGGGGGGGATAGAGGTGAGAGTGGAGTGGACGCTTGCCAGTGAGGAGGTTGAAGGCGGCGGGACTGAGGTCTTCGAGGGAGCTGTGCAGCTTGATGGGCTGACGGCACTTTTGGCACTTCATGGTGCTCGTTGGGTGGGTGAGTGGTGAGTGTGGTTGTGAGGGTTGAGTTTGGGGGTTGAGAGTTGGGATTAAAGATTAGAGCTGTAGAGTTTGATAAGAGCTGTGGGAGGTCGGACAGGGCCTGTTATCGGGTCTGTGGCGTGGGATGTGGCTTGGCTGTGGATCTACCCCTAGCCCTATGTAGCTGTAGCTGTAGCTGTAGCTGTAGCAGCTCTGAGTCTTGATGCTTGATGCTTGATGCGTAGAGATGTCTTTTTGATGATAGAGATGTCTGGCTGTCGATGGTTGGAGAGAGATTCTGATGGCTTGTCTTTGTGTCTCGGTTTTGCAGCCGTCGAGCAGAGAGGGGAGACGAGGTGCCATGCCACAGATTCAGTACCAGAGCTACCCACAGGCAACATACCGGACAGACCTAATCCATAGTCCCCAGTGCCCGAGAACCCCCGCTGCCTCAAGCTCTCCCCCCGCTACCTCAAGCTCTCCCCCCGGGCCGCACCCCCGCGTCCCAAAACCGTTTCCGAGTGAGAATGCGTGCCCCGGCAGCGCCAGCATATAAATAGCCCAACCCGGCCCTGCACGTGACAGCGCCCAATGCGGCTCTCTCCCGCACCAATCACACCGAGGCCGCGTCAACGTTCGTGAAGCTCTCAACGCTCTCTCTTTGAATCTCTGCTTCACAAACAACCGGACCAAACAACCAATTACTTCACAACTATACACACACCCACCTATTTACCTTCCTACGAACAACAGAACTATGGAATCCGTAATGCCCTCACCCCCCCCCCCCCAATTTCAGACAAACAGACAAGCAGACTAACGCCCTCCAGCAACGACCCCAAGAAGGAGCCCTCAGCTGGCGCCTCTCCGCGCACCCCGCAACACTCGGTTTCTTCCTCGCCTTCCGCCTGTGTACGTCCCGTCCCGTCCTCTCCCCTCCTACAACCCCCCCCCGCGCGCTCTCCTTACACTACACGCAGCGATACTAACCGCACACTGCAGCCGCGCTCCTAACCTACCTCTTCGGCCTCTGGTTCTCCTCAAACTTGTACTTCCTCTATCCGCCCTACCACAATGCTCATAACTAACCACCCACAGCGTGCTGATATTCATCATCGTGATCCTCCTCCTCGCCGCTGACTTCTACTACGTCAAGAACATTGCCGGCCGCCGCCTCGTTGGCCTGCGCTGGTGGAACGAGACCAGCGCCGACAACAGCGGCGAGAGCATCTGGGTGTTTGAAAGCCCCGACGTATTTGCCCCTCTCTTTCTCCCTTCCCGGTGGTGGTAGAGGTGAGAGTGGAGGTGGATGCTAATGGATGGTGCGGGGAAAAAAAAGGAATCCCGCCAAATCAACGCAACCGACAGCCGCTTCTTCTGGCTCTCGCTGTACATCGTGCCGCTGCTGTGGGTGCTTCTGGCCGTCGTGGCGGTGGTCAGGTTTGAGTTTATTTGGTTGTCGCTTGTTGGTTTGTGCACCCCTTCCCCAATTCTCCACCCTCCCCACTCTCCCCACACCCCACACCCCACACCCCTTCACCCCCCATAGACACACACTAACACACCAAACAGTAATCGCAGTGATCCTCTGCGTCACCAACGGCGTCGCCTTCTCGCGCGCCGACAAGTTCGGCAACGCCTCGACGTTCGCGGGGCGCGCGCTCAACACCACGGGCGGTGGGCTGGCGAGGCAGTTTGCGGGGAGTGTGGCGAGCCGGGTGTTTTTCTCGGGGGGGAGGAATTAGTGCTTTTGAATGCGGCCCGGGAGGAGTAGGCGTGAAAGGATGGGTGTAGGGGGTGGGGAACGGGAAGGGGGGGAGGGAAGAACGGGGAACGGCAGAACGGGGAGCGGCAGAACGGGGGAGGGATGGGGGGGGTATGTGGCGTTTTTATATAGGGTAGCTTTTTTCGCTTTTTTCTGCTGCGCTTTTCTTTGCGCTTTTTCTTGTGCTTTCTCTTTTGCGCTGTGTGGATAGCTGGCTAGCTAGCTAGGGAATGGAAAGGGTTCTGTGCTGCTTGGTTATGGTGGGAAGCGTTTGTAGGAGTAGGGTTGTGGGTGATATTGTTGGTATTGATATCGATTGCTTCATGGTGCATCACTCGGTACCAACCTACCACACTATCTCAACAATTCGAATAAAGCACGGTAGGTGTAGGCCTGCTTGTATGTACTTACCTTACTACTACAACTGAAACCAGCGCACTCGTTCTACAATCACGAACCTATGGTTTCCGTTCACGCATTACCACACATAGAAAGACAGAGGGAGAATACCCTCGCGGCAGCTAATACCTACCCCACAACCCCACAACCCAACAAACCCGGCAGCTCCACTACAGCCATACCCGCACGTAACGGCGAACCCGACATACTCCCCGACGCAGTCTCTAGTACTACCAGTTCTAGGAGAAAGCTGCACGCGTGAGGCACAGCACTGTGATATCATGACACATTATAGCGCGCTGGCATTAAGGGTATAATACATGTGTTCGTGTAAACGGGGCCATTAAGAGAACAGAGAAGAAAAGAACCAGGGGTATCGAACAAGCCGAAGCAGCTCTACGTAGCATCACCCGCCCTCAACGCACGCCCATCCCCATCCCCACCCATCGTCGCCGGATCAAAAACATACATCGGAAACTACCCGCACCCACAGCACATTAGCACTCCCTCCCCCACCCACCCATCACCACACCCCTAGGAGCATACATACCTCCAACCCCACCGTCCTCTTCACCGCCACCGGCAACCTCTCCCACACCCTCCTCGGCATCGGCACCAGCACACTCGTCCTCCTCAAATACTCACTATACTCCTCCCACCCCCGCCCCATCTCCCACCGCCTCCTCGCCGCCGGCCGCTCCTGCAGCGACACCCCACTCACAAACAACAACAACCCCGCGAGCACCAGCGGGCCCACCACACTGCCATACAGCGCCGCCGCCGCGCGCCCCGTCACCGCGCCTTGCGCCGCCGGCGCAATGGCGACCAGCCAGATGCCGAGATGCAGCAGGATCTCGCCAAAGTAGTTGGGGTGGCGCGAGTAGCGCCACAGCCCGCTGTCCATGAAGAGGGCCTTGTTGGACGCCGCGGCGGCGCTGGACCGGAAGAGGTACTTCTGCGTGTCGGCGAGGGTCTCGGTTGCGAGGCCGGCCAGGAAGAGGATGCTGCCGAGGATGTCGAGTGGGGTTGTGAACGGGGGGAGAGGCGAGTGCGCGGTGGTGGAGGGGCTGTTGAGGATTGTGAGGGGCAGGGAGACGGTCCAGACCCAGAGCATTTGGAAGAGCCAGAAGCCGAGGAAAGGGAGGAACTTGTCGCGCATGCCGTCTGGTTGTGTTAGTGGGGGTCTTTTTGTGATGGAGGGGGGGAGGGGGAGGGGGAGGGGGAGGGGGAGGGGGAGGGGGAGGGGGAGGGTACTGAAGCGGTCGTCTTGTCCGGTTTTGAGGATGCGGAAGAGGAGGAAGCCGGATAGGCGGGCGCCCCAGACCATCATGAAGACGGAGGCTACGATGTTCTGCGGGGGGGGCGGTTCTGTTAGCTTGGAGTTTACGAGCTTAGTAGAGCTTGGTGGAGCTTGGGAGAGCTCGGGAGAGCTGCGATATACTACTCACTCTAACATCTGTGACGCCGCTGAAGCACAGCGTAACGATCGCAAGCAGCACAAAGTTTGTCCCGCCCGCAAAGTCCGTGAGCTTGTCGAACCGGAGCGCGAAGGCGATCGTGAAGAAGAACAGCTGGTACGTGATTGTGATCAGCAGCGTTGCGGTGAGGTAGTAGTCGTCGATCGCGTATAGAGTTATGGCCATTGGATTGGTTTGCACTGGCTGGCTACAGCAACGTCCTCCGTCCGGGCTGGTTACTGTTTACTGTTTATATTCCTTGAATGAATCCTCAAAATTTAGTTGTGTATACATGTATGTATGCGTGTGTGAGAGTGTGTGGTGTATATGTGTGTGTGTAGCACTGAGACTCCATTCGCGATGCTCTTGGGAAGGGTTAGTTCGCAGTAGCCTATTGTGTCATTGACTCACGTTCCTGAATCGGCGATTGTGTAGAGCAGCAAGGCGCTTTGTTATTGGAATTCGAGGCTGGGAGACAGGGCACAGGTTGCTTTTAACTTTGGGGAGTCACTTTGGTGTTTCAGATCATGGATGGTCACTCAGTGTGCTACTACTGTTCCTGTTCCGAATCATAGACGATCACTAAGGATCTCGAAAGCTAGGTTCGCTAGGGAGTGCTCCAGGGTTCGTTCCAGGGTTCGTTGGGATGGCTACATGTACATACATAACCTATCTTAGTGCCTATGGCTTGCAAGTTCAAGCTGATTCGGCCAACTCTACATGTACTCTACAAAACCACGATGTCGTCAAGGCTTTACAATTAGCGTAGCTCTAGAGTAGACACCCTAGTACTAATTGCTGAAGCTACCCGTCTACTGATTATCAGCATCACACTCGATCTTGCCAAGAGCTGCGGATCTGATAATCTCAACAGAGCACCCTACACTCCAACTCCCCGCGTCAGAAGTCCGTGTCTTCGCAGAACCCGAGGGCCTCGGCCACCCAACACAACGCACCAAACAATTCAGCCTGGGGTTCCAATGCAGGTCCCCACACTTTGCAGATGTAACCTTATGTCCCAATAAACCCGTGAATCCCAGGAATTTAACCCCAACCCTGGGCCGCAGGGTGTATGTCATACAGCGCTCTTTCTGTGTATCGCCGCCTGGTTTTTTTTTTTTTGCACCGGCGGTGAACAGACGGAGGGAATGGCGTATGTGGGATGTTCCGCTTTGCATGTGAATGGGGGTAGGTACCTACTCTACATGTAATACGGCGCGCTCACTTGGCCAAGACCTAGACCCTTTCGGAACGCGGGGGTTGTCAAAAGCTGGAGAAGGGAAGGGAGCCTCTTCAACTTTAGCTTAGTTAGGGTTGTCTCGGGGAAAAAGTGTGGGATGCTTTCACATGTCAACCAGGCAGGGACTGCTGGAAGGCTGTGGTTGGACTAAAACTCGCCAGGCCACCTCTTCACATGACGATGAACAAGCCTACATACATGTATTTGCTTTCGAGCTTTCATGTGGAGCCCTGATGACCGTCATTCAAATCCGTAAGCAGGTATCTGATTGGCTGGCCCCACACTTTTTCATGCCCTCCGCGTGCCAAGGGCTGACAGGAAAGCCTCGGCTGTACGATACCCCGAAACAAGACGCACCCCCCCCCCCCCCCCCCCCCCAATTCCGCTTGCGAGCGGTACAAAGTCAGATCCCCAGCCCACCACGTCTTCCCATTTCTTCTATTTCCTCTACCTGACCCGTGTCTTCATAACTCGTCTTTTGTCTTTTGTCTCGTTCATTGCACAGAGAGCTCTTCAGTGAAATTACATTCTCAGAAAATACCAGCTTGCCGTTGTTGTTAACTATCTTTCATCACAAACTGAAATAATGTCTCCACGAGTAATTGTCGTCGGTGGCGGTCGTAAGTTCCCCACAACGAGAGCTGAGCTTTTAGTAAATAGGGCAACATGAATATGAGCTAACCTACTTTCCGAACAGTTTCTGGCCTCAGTGCTGCCCATACATTGTATCTTGCCGGTGGAAATGTTCTTGTTCTTGACAAGCAAGGTATTTGGCCCTCTTCAGCCCCGACGTTTGTCATTTCTAATATGAGACATTAGGATTTTTCGGTGGAAACTCCACAAAGGCCACATCAGGTATCAACGGTGCTCTCACACGCACTCAGGTCGACTCAAAAATCCAGGACAGTGTGCAGCAGTTCTACGACGATACTATGAAATCGGCACGTGATAAGGCGCGGCCAGAGCTTATTAAGGTTCTTACATACAAGTCGGCAGCTGCCGTGGAATGGTTACAGGATGTGTTCGGGCTTGATCTTACGCTTGTCTCCCGTCTTGGGTATGCTTCTATTCTCTTCTGTTGTCGATGCATCGGAATCTAACAGAAACAAAATAGTGGTCACTCACAACCTCGCACACACCGAGGCCACGATGCCAAGTTCCCCGGAATGGCCATCACCTACGCTCTGATGCAGAAGCTTGAAGATCTTGCTGAAAACGAGCCTGAGCGAGTAAAGATTATCAAGAAAGCCCGCGTCACCAAGATCAACAGCGAGGGCAACCACGTCACCGGTCTCGATTTTGAGTACGAGGGAAAGACATACACTGAGAACGGCCCAGTTATTCTCGCAACTGGAGGATACGCTGCGGATTTTGACAGCCCAGACTCACTCTTGAAGAAGCACCGTCCTGATGTTCTCAAGCTTTCATCAACCAACGGAACTCACGCTACCGGTGATGGACAGAAGATGGTTATGGCCCTTGGTGGTAACGGAATTGACATGGACAAGGTCCAAGTACACCCTACTGGACTCGTAGACCCCAAGGACCCTACTTCCAAGTGGAAGTTCCTGGCTGCTGAGGCTCTCCGTGGTGAGGGTGGTCTTCTCTTGAATGCCGACGGTAACCGATTCTGCGACGAACTTGGCCACAGAGATTATGTCTCTGGCGAAATGTTCAAGAACAAGTTCCCCATTAGATTGGTCCTTAACAGCAAGGCCTCAAAGGTCCTTGATTTCCACACCAGGCATTACTCCGGGCGTGGTCTTATGAAGAAGATCACTGGTGCTGAGCTTGCCAAGGAAATTGGCTGCGGACCCGAGCACCTTCAGAAGGTCTTCAAGGCATACAACGACATTGCTGATGGAAAGGCCAAGGACCCCTATGGAAAGAAATTCTTCCACAACACTCCTTTCGATATCAATGATGATTTCCATGTTGCCCTCATGGAGCCTGTTGTCCACTTTACCATGGGTGGTGTTGAGATTGACGACAAGGCCCGTGTCCTCAACAAGGAAGGCAAGCCCTTTGAGGGTCTTTACGCCTGTGGTGAGATTGCTGGGGGTGTCCACGGTGCTAACCGTCTTGGTGGTTCATCTCTCCTTGGATGTGTTGTTTACGGCCGTGTTGCTGGTGACACCGCTGCGGAATACCTTTTCCAAAAGGTTCTTTCTGGTGCTGGATCAGGATCAGGATCATCTACCGCTGCTGCCCGTCTAAACCAGATCTCGCTTCATATTGATCCTAATACCCCAGGCAAGCTCACTATTGAATGGAATGGTGGAAACGCCGCTCCCTCATCACAGGGACAGGATTCAGGATCAGCCGCAAGCATTCCCGGTCAGACTGCAACCCACTCTGTTTTGAAAGATAGTGCCAGCGGCCAGGACCCCGGTACAGTGTCGAAGCCTGCGACAAAGAAGGAGTTTTCCATCCCTGAGAAGGAATTCACGTTGGAGGAGGTTGCAGCGCACAATACTAAGGACAACGTATGGGTTGTTGTCAAAGGTGTAGTCATGGATGTGACAAACTTCCTTGAGGACCACCCCGGTGGTGTCCAGGCTGTCATGAACTTTGCTGGCAGAGATGCAACCGAGGAGTAAGAAAACCTAATCAAGCTTGATATACATTACTAATGTTTTTCCCCAGATTTGCGATGTTGCATGACGATGAGGTCATTCCCAAGTACGCCCCGGCTACTGTTATTGGACGGATAAAGGGCGTTACCCCCAAGTTGGACATTTAAATCGAGTTTGTTTGTGCTTTTCTTTTGTGAGGGATGGTTTATAGAAACCAGATTGGATTGTTTGCTTTCGGTTAATGAAGTTGATGCCCAAGCGTTCGAGAATTCCTCGATTGTATAAATATCTGACTTTGTTTTGGCTGTATTTCTTATCTCCTATTGGTTATAATTTCTTTGGTAGTCAATGCATTGATATTACGACGGCTATTTTAAAAATCCTTAGCATGTGACATGTTCACAACCTCTCACTCGTAGCTCAGAATTGAAGTTGTCTCTTTAAACAGCGAAGTGATACCACAAAGTTTGGGCCGCTGCGTCCCAGAGACCCACCAACACTGATAAAAGACATCAAAGTTTCTGCCAATTAACCCAGAACTCCTGTTCGAAACCCTACATAGTATCCTGCAGTTTATCATGTTTCAACTCTACCGTCCTCATGAAGGATTACACTAACGAACTCGACGGTCAATATCTCAGGAGGGATGGTAAGAGCAACGTCTGATTTACAGAAGAGCCTAGCAATCCCAGAGGTGTATGTGTTAGTTTTTTGTTCTATCCTTTGTGGCCGGGAAACTTCGTGCTGTCTTGTATCCCTCTTACCCGTCTTGGTTTCGAGGTGCAGTTCGGCTGTGCTCTGGGTGTTGTGGTCATCACTGCCATTCGTTCCGGTCTTCTTTTCTTGCCTTTCATCTTGATCTTTATCCATATTTCTGCCCCATGAGTTTATGGGTTCACTCTTCTGGTCAGACGAGGTATTTCCTTCATCTATTTTTTCGAAGTTTAGTACATCCTCGGTCTGATAATGATCTCTGCGTTGTTTCTGTTCAGCACCTCCCTCAATGGAGTCCTCTTTTTCTGTTTTTTCCAGTTCGCCGCTTTCTTTCTTTCTTGTATCCTCAACTCCCTTCTCCCTGTCGACCACTTCATCATCATCCATACTTCCTTCCAGTTTACCCACCCCCTTCTCCTCAACAGATTCACCTGGAGGAACTAGGGTAGGTACTTCTCGCCGCACCTCAGTTTCTTCATAACTGCCCTCTTCCCTTTCAACGTTCGTTTTTATATCCCCACAACTCTCTCCATTTACGTCTTCTTCGAGCTGTATCGTTTTTCCATTCCGATCACTCTTTCCAGTCTCAACTCGATCTTGAATCACACAGATGCAAATCGTGGGGCCATCAGCAAGAGCGGTGGCTTTGTCAATGCCTCTAGCAACACAATCGATTGATGTGAAGGCTGTGTTATGTTTGTGGAGGAAGAGAGCAAGACGGTCGAAGAGATCCCCGGTGAAAAAAGAGTTCGGCGAGTAGGCGAGAGGAAAAGAGCGGCGGGGGGCTTGAGTGGTTATGACTCTCAACTTTGGGTCTGCGTGAGGGTTGGGTTGGGACATGGTAGACAATTGATATGGTAGGATATATGATGGGGACGGGATTTGGGAGGAAAGATAATAGGAGTAATTAGAGGGATAGGAGGGGGAGTCTGGGGCGGTTGGTATATGTATGCCTTTGAAAACTGTCTCTAGGCGACCTAGCAGCCTAGATGTAGAGAGTAAATGGGGGGGGCCGTGTATAGCTACATATCATATATGTATTTATAACCCTATTTTGGAAACGTGTGTAGTGATAAATGATCACGCCACTATTTCTTGACCTGAGCCAAGTCAACTATTGACATGACCAGATCGCCATGATACCTAGATTTCAATTATTGAAGCTTATACCATAGCTTATATAGGCTTCTTTAGTATTAGAGGAACTGTTGACTTATAGCTAAGTGGAGTAGAAGCTGTAATATTACATATATATAGCTCTTGTGCTTGAACGATTATCCAAAGTATCGCACAGATCAACCGATTCATTGCACCCATATGTCACTTGGCAAAGAGGGCCATAATCGTAGTACTCGGATATGAAGATATTGGTGCACGGAGTAGTCGTATATAGACTATAGATTTTGTTAGAAATATGTAGGATTTAATATTGAGTGCTTTCCCTTAAAGTATGCATATTTACCTCCTGGGCATTTAGAGCAAGTATTGTGAATTCAGCAGGGCCTAGGGGTTTACGATGTACTTAGGCTTAGGCGCCACATAGTCATTTTGCAATGGTTTATTTATACCCATTGGGTAAAACTCTGCTGGAACGCCTAGAGGACCGTCATAAGCAGAAGTTGGCACGCGTAGGGCGATCGGTCGATCAGTAGGGAAATAGTGATTTATATAGGTGTTGTAATGCAGCATGTCGAGTGATTTCGATTTCCCGTGCTCCAAGGTATATGTTGGTCCAAAACTATGTACCCCTCATATCATTACTACATGTACTCCGTTTATCTAATACAGCATTACATACTAGGATATATTATCAAATTACCTTGATATATGAGACCTAGAGATGGAAATATAACTGCTCTACTCACTTGCCTATAACTCCTTTCTGTTATATATAATTGTACCGTATATACCGTATATACCGGCCGTATATATACGTGCCCCCCGTGAACGTGCATGCATACTATATAGCACAACCATTATTCTCTTGAACGTGTTCAAGAACATTGGGGGCGAAAGGCCCGGCCGAGTCCATTCGCGAAAACTCCAAATTCCCCAATATCCCTAGACAAACGGACGGGAAAATACCTTGATTTATTTGATTCGTAGTCAGTGTAGTAGTTTCTTATGCCTTAGATAAGTACTGGCGAGTGGCTCAACTAATTATGTGGTGGCGGCTGGCAGGTAGAATCATGTAGTATCACTCGATTTTGAGCAACTATTTTTGGTTTGGTAGTATTTTATGCTTATGGCATTTCCAGGTAACAAAATGTATAATTCGGTCTGGTGGAAGTATAAAACCTACCTTATTCGTACTAATATATATATGTATTCTTTACCCGCACCCTTAGCCGATGTATTGATGTAAATTGCACTCCTAAAATTCACGTTTCAAGTATTTCCTCTGTGGCTTCATTTCATGTACTATAACCTTTCTTCCGTCACTGCAGTATACTGCGGGGGCGGCGGCCTACATAGTATGGTCCATGAGCCGTCTCGGGGGAGCTGGCTCGGCTCCTGGGGGCTTTGGGCTCATAGATCTCGAGATATAGCCGCAGACTCGCAACCGGGATCGAGCCTGTAGTAAGGTAAATAATCTGAATTAGGTCCGTCCCGCCTCTATGGCCATAATAGGCGGAGAAGTCTACTAGTAGTGATTCATATATATACACCCTCTCTCCCCAGGCCCATATCTCACTATATATTGCCTGAACCATGATAATTCCAGCCGAGCTCAATGAGCTAAAAGTTCGAGCCTAAAGATCGAGCTGGCTTGGCTTATAAACAATAATATATTTCTATATATCTATTCTTATATATATATAAGAATATGTCGGGAAAGGTATTTCGGTAACCCTAACCCCATACCTAACGCCCTTATAGGCTCGAGAACACCCGAGTGGTAGCCATCCTTCGGATTGTTTATTAGAGTTTGTGTTAGGACTAATATTGCTGAAGACTATTGCTGCTACTACTACTATCATTGCAATTGTCTGATTCTGGTTATGATTATTAATTATTTTATTATGACAGAATCAGTATCGAGCTTTTGGTGGGGTTTCTTATATGGTGCGCCCACTCTTAAAGGTAGCGGATCGCGACGAAATGTCAATGGCTGATAACTTTGCAACGAAAAATGGTACAAAAAAAGCGTAATGATAGAACTCTAGTACTAGTGATGAAGTTTAGTTCTATCATTGCAGATTCTTGATTTCTGTCTGGGTTGTAAAGTTATCAGAGGTTGAAATTGTGTATTTTTGTATGTAAAAAGCGCCAAGACTGAGCAAAGTGGAACAGTATTATACCCATTTATACCACCTCAAAAGTGAATTGCGGCAGGAATACAGCAAAGGGGCTAGGAATAAGCCCTCTCATTGGCCTTGGAGTCCATGATTGTTCCACTTCCAGATACCGCCGTGTCACCTTTAAGAATGTGCGCACCATAGACCTCTATAAGAAAGTTGGGAACTTGAATACAATTAATGAATTATCAATCAATCAAGGGAACTTGAGGTTGAGAATTAATGAATTAAAAAAAAAAAAAAAACTTGAGGTTGGACTCCACTAAAATATCGAGTGAGAAGCGGTGATTGCTCGCTAGTCACCCGTGTACCTACTCACTCTAAGCTACCAAGAGATTGATTGATTGATAATTCATTAAAAGCTGCCAAGAGAAAAAAGAAGTATGATGGTACTGTATTCACATGGGATGTCTAGGATCACAACAGAACCACCAATCCTTTTTGCTAGAATCACGTAATCGGTCACGCACTTGTGCTGGCTGTGAAGATATCAGGATATCTAGCTGGGTGATCAACTGAGCAGGTATTACGTGAAGAGAAAGTTAATTAGCCAGATATATTAGAGCCTGACGAGGATGCGGGGTATTTGATACAGATACATAAAGAATATACGAGCGTCACGATGCAGAACGGAGACCCACCTGTAAGAATTATGACTCTACTAAGCAGGGTCATTTCTAATGGACGGTACTACCTATTACTCCTAATCACATTGCATCTGCTTCATAGTTTAGGGGTTGTATAAATCACAAGCAGGAAAATGAAGCTTTGGTTCTTGCGAGTATTGCTGTCAATTTTCTGACACAAAGAACCGGGGCAGGGAAAAACCAGAAAAGAAGTACACATAGGTGTGAATTTTGTCTCTGTTTATGTCGAGACGGTGATTGGTAAAACCCCGGATGTTTAATGATAGATTGTCCTCGTGTAATTCACTTAATGCAATATCAGGCAGGAGATATCATTTGGCACATGGGCTCTAAACCTTTGGATGATATCTATTTCACCCGAATAACGTATCTAAAGGGTCAAACGCTTATTCACAGATCTTTACCAGTTCATCTTGAGCTTTGACTCCATCTCAGCATGGAAACCAGGCAGTTCCTCGGTGTTGTCGGTCCCTATGATGGGTGTTGGAGTTAGCTTTGCCGAAAGAGAAAGGCAGCTCAGTTGAACATTGATCGCTTGACAATGACAAAATGGGGCGATGTTTTATTTTATGCTTACCCTTGTAGACATCCTCCCATTCGATAGTTGTGTCCTTCCCCTTCAGAATATCGAGGTGGAAGTTGCTAGGCCCGCCCAGTTGAGCCGGTCTCCAGTCCTGTTCTCAGAAGTTTATTAGCATCCTTATCTCTTCTCCCACCATCGGTCCATCATTTCATATCCACATAATGGCCATCTAAACCCCCGCAAATTTCCAGGAAGCCCAAGGAGACTAACCGATCCGCTAATCTTCATCTCCATACCCCTCCTGATCGGCTCTTGCGCACCGTATACCCTCATTAGACTTTCCATCTTCAAAGCCTGCTGAGTTTCATCCCAGTTCTTCAGTCTAGCCTCCAGAGGATGTCTTCCGTTCATTTCGGCAGATACAGACTGCAATCCGTTCCTCATTGGGTCAGGGATTGAACGGACACTGGGAGCTCCATTTGTGGTAGAGATCTGGACGGCATGCTTTGGGGCAGGGATTATGCGAAGAGACTATACTACCTTATTAGCTCGCGTGATATAAGGGGAGTATGACAGAAGGGTTTCAATACCATTTTATTATTGTTTGGTGGTGCAGAACTTGGAGATGGAGGGGTGATGAAGTTGTGGGGAGTCAGAGACGAGGATAACGATAGCTGGCGCAGCTTGGTTGTTGCCAAGTCCAAGCCGAGCCCATCTTATCTGATAAGATCTAAGCACAGAATACATACATGTATCCACCACAAGGATTTGAAAGTTGAAACTCTGGCCCGGTATAAGTATCAATACCATGATCCATAACCGTCCTAAGTTATATAATTTGGTGCTGAATCAAAGAAAAGTACTTTAAAAGGCTTCGGGCCTCGGATAACGGCATGAATATGGGGATAAGTACATGTATTCGGTAGAATATTGAAGATGCATGTCTGGCTGGACTGATCATGACCACTTGCTATCCCATCATTCCAGCAGGAAGGAACAGGGAAGACAATTATCCTAGTTGAGGTTTCCAACTGAATTTTTTTTGTGTTGTACTGGGTTGTTGAAGCACTTCGGTGTTCCCTACCGGCGCCACTGGTAATGAAGAGCCGTACATGATCCAATCAGGAGTCGGTCCAGATTGAAACGCGGCTACAACGACAAACCCCAGCCACAGGTACCCCTCAACGCGTGAGTGAGTGATGGGATATGATTAAATCCGTTTGTTCAAGCTCGTCTATACATGTGTATGTAGAGTAGTTGTAGTATGGTATTATATTACATGGAGAACAACTAGGATGAGGCATGGAAAAAGAAAAGGAACAAATTTATGGCAACAGCTAGCAGCGTATCCCGCAGGCCGAGAAACCGTTA